GAGTGTTCCCAAGCATGACAATCAACACTGATTGGTTAACAATTAATGAAAAAAAATTAATATTAGAGGGGGTGGACCTGAACTTTGATTATGTCATTTACTTCTTAACTCCAACCTTGGGCAATCCATTCCAAGAATTTATCCCCACCCAAACCAGAACAGAACCCAATGGCTTCCCCACTTGGGTGGGGTCTGGATAGAGAAGTTTAATTCAACCTTCCTAGACTGAAGTCTTGAAATGAAGATAAAAGAAAAAGGAGGAAATCTGGATCTCCCTGAATCATTGGTTATTAATAATCATTTCTCTCACAGGTATAATTTTAAAAGGACTATTGATATCTTTGGGGAAATTAGAGGTTGTTACCTTTTCAGTGAAAGGTGAGTCACTGAGATTTGATTTAAGGTTCTGATTTAAGACATTTACAGGTATAAGAAATAAAAGGGATGAGGAAAGGAAGCTGATGCTTGAAGACTGTATAACCTGAGAGAAAAGGAAAGAGGAAAAACAACAGGGGGAACCAAAAGAACATTGTAAATGGTAATGATGAGGATGAGATCTGAACTTCTAAAATGAAATGACCATGTCTTTGGGATCTGAACCCCAAAAAGGAAAATCCCTGGACTTTCCCAAATCTCTGGCATTTGCCTGAGGCTGTAATCTACTCAACTGGCCTTTCATTGTGGCTACACCCAATCTCCCAGTTCTGTTCCTATGCCTCCATTGCCTCTGGCCACTTCCCACTCTTAATCCTACCTAGACTCCATTCTCCCTGGGCCAAGTGGTTCAGGTCCCTGGTAGTCTGTTCACTCCAGTTTACTGGCCACTCCCATCCAGATCCTCCTTCAGTCACCACAAACTACTTGGCCACTCCTAGATCCCTCCCACAGTCCATTTGGCCTCCATTAAGGCGCTCAGATTCCTTAAGAACCTATCCAATAGCCCCCAAATATCAGATTCCCTTAGAGTCTGGCCAATATGGTGGATCTTTAATAAACCTTGTCTTTGGCTGAAAGAAGGCTTGGGCTGAATTCATTTGGGCAGGACCCATGTGTCATGATTTTTGGGGTCCCAGCACCTGTACACCTCTAAACCTCAACAGTAACAGCAATATGGAAATGATAATTAACTATGTAAGATTTAGCTACTCTGATCAATACAAAGATCCACCACGATTCCAAAGGACTTACGATGAAAAGTGCTATCTACCTCCAGAGAGAGACCTAAGTGGAGATTAGAGATTTTTTAAAAAAATTTTCTTTATTTTTCTTGCCATTTTTTTTTGGCAACATACCTAATATGGAATTACTTCCCATATATAATGGGTATTATATTGCTTGCTTTCTCAATGCATGGGAGAGGGTTTAGCTGAAGGGAGAGAATTTGGGGGAGAAAGAAGATTTACAAAATAAAAGAAAAAGAAACAGCAGGGAGTCAAAAGCATTTTGTTGGAGTTGTTTGAAGAGACTAACAGCAAGAGTCTGCTTTGGCTGTTACTTCCTGATTGGTTGTCTAAAGGCCAAGGCTCCACATATTGCCTGTCAGGTCAACTCCATAAAGCTTGAGAGGTGAAGCTTCTTAGAAGTGTGTGCTGCTCTCTTCTGCCTCTCTCTGTTCCAAGAGGGAAAAGCAGAAAGGGGGGTAACAGATACTACTGTTGCTTTGCTAAATAAGAAAATCAGGCTAAGATCATTTTGCTTGGGCTCAGTCTACCTGAATTTTTTGCCACAAGCTCTGTTCTGATTGGACAACCCAGCATCCTGCTCAGTGGAGAGCAGACTAGGTTGTTCTAAGATAGGGAGCTTTACTGTTTTCTGGCTAAAAAGGGAACTGCTATTCACGTGATAAGGTAACACTTGCCTGCCATTTTAAGGGTGATTTTAAGTTGAAGGAGCATGTCAAAGCTACATTTGAGTTGAGAAGAGAAGAGGATTTGTCCAGCTGGAGAGCAATAAAGACTAACAGACAAGCAGTTAGCAAAGAGGTGGTTTCCTGTTGTGCAGCTATTCCTAAACTGGCCAAAGACATCAAAGCCTGCAGTCCTGAGTTGTGAGTTAACCTGAGCGCATGAATTTTCTTCTTCAAGTGCTTCCCTATCAGGTTTCTGTGTGTGCTCACTCTCCCCTACAGAAACTGATTGCATTGATGGGAAAGTGTGACCCAGGCTTATGTGTGGATTGTAATGTATTTTATTATTTATACATCTGTCTTAATATGTGAATATTGTTATTACTATTTCTTTTCAAAATTTTTAATTTTTTTTCTTTTTTAAGGCAATTGGGGTTAAGTGACTTGCCCAGGGTCACACAGCTGGTAAGTGTCAAGTGTTTGGTCTGAGACCGGATTTGAACTCAGGTACTCCTGACTTCAGGGCTGGTGCTCTATCCACTGTGCCACCTAGCTGCCCATCTGCCCCAAAGAACTTTTTTTTGGGGGGGGGAGTAAGGCAATGGGGTTAAGTGACTTGCCCAGGGTCACACAGCTCATAAGTGTCAAGTGTCTGAGGCCGGATTTGAACTCAGGTCCTCCTGACTCCAAGGCTGGAGCTCTATCCACTGAGCCACCTAGCTGCCCCCCTTATTGTTATTTCTGATATTGTTAAGCAAATAATTGTGTTTAAAATCTAAAAGTGTCATAATTGTGATTGGCTGGTTTATGTAAATCAAAATACGTTAATGAGAACTCAAGACCTAGAGTTGTGAGTAGAGGGAGTATATTCCTACTCAAGAGAATTGCCTCTAGAACCTTGACAGAATTTGAACACAACAGTGTGGTGATGGTCTATTTGGGAACACAGACCTGTTAGTGTGAACAGCCTGAAGTGATCACAACAACCCAGATAGTAAGTAGATGTCTACAGGTCCACGTGAGAGGTGTGAGGCCCCTACACAGCGTGGGTGGTTACACCACCTGTTACAAATGCAAAGGTCCATCTTTCTAACACTAATATTTTTTTTCTGCTTTTTGCTCATAATGTTTGCCTATTTCCTGAGTCTTTTTTATTAATTTATTTTGATTTATCAACAATCACTTCCATAAGTTTTTGAGTTTTAAATTTTTCTCCCCCTCCTTCCTCCCTGCCTCCCTCCCCAAGACAGCACGTAATCTGATATAGGCTGTATATATACACATTCCTATAAAACAGATTTTCACATGAGTGATGTTATAAGGAAGAATTAGAACCAATATGAGGAACCACCAGAAAGAGGAAACAAAACACAACAGAAGAAAAAAAATAGCAAATGTAACACTAATATTTTCAAAGTGTTGGTATATGACAAAGAGACATGGAACACCATGGCCTCCTAAAACTAAAGATGAATACCAGTAGAGGTTAAAGGTGAGGTTTAAAAAATTTTTTTTATTAGTTTTCAACATTCACTTTTATAAGATTTTGAGTACTAAATTTTCCCCTGACCCTCCTCTGTCCCCTCCCCAAGACAGCATGCAATGTAATATAGGTTATACATGTATATTTGCACATTAGTCATGTTGTGAAAGAATCGGAACAAAAGGGAAAAACCACGAGAAAGAAAAAAAAAAGAGAAAAATAGTATACTTTGATCTACATCCGTAATTCTTTCTCTGGATGCGGATAGCATTTTCCATCATAAGCCTTTTGGAATTGTTAAAGGAGAGTTTTGGGTCAGGTATGAGCAGCCTATATTGTATAACCACTTGGGATGCTGAAGAGTAACAATATAGGACATCATGAAGGAATGGTACGACAGGAAAATCAGATGGCCTGGACAATTACACGCTAGGTGGCCTTTCCTGGCATACTTTTGGGCGGATATAGATGGGTTGTGTTATATGCATTGTTGGAGGGAATGTTGAGATCGAAGATCCACATGAGTATTTGAGATTAGAGGAATTAGGCAAAGATGGGAAAAAGAGAAAAGAAAGGGAAGAGAGGAGGATCCAAAAAGAAAAGTAGTAAGGTATCTATAAGTGCTATGGGAAGGGGGCAGAGCATTTATTAAGTGCCTACTATATGCCAGGCACTTTACAAATATTTTCTCATTTGCTAGGACGGAGTCCAGCACTGAGAGACGGTAAATAGAAGGGGTAGGTTTTTTCTTTTCAGAGTCAGAGGCCAGGAGCGTTCCATAAAGCTCAGAGAAAAGCCAGGACTCAATACATTCCTTCAAAGGAACATATTTCAGCTTAAAGGAGGAGAGGCATTAGCCAAAAAGACTCAGTCTTCTAATTTCTCTAATTCATGTAATGGAGGAGAAAGAGACAAGGCCAAAAACATGAGGGAGACAGAGTCAGAGAAAGGAGAAATATAGAGACAGAAACATGGAGGACAGAGGTAGCCAAAGAGGAGACAGGGAAAGGAAAGAAGCAGAAATAGGAGTGAGAGGAAGAGACAGGAAAAGCAAAGAGGAAGGAGAGAGAGAGAGAGAGAAGAGAGAGAGAGAGAGAGAGAGAGAGAGAGAGAGAGAGAGAGAGAGAGAGAGAGAGAGAGAATGAGAGGGGGAAGAGACAGAGACACTGAGAGAGGGAGGAAGGGAGGGACAGGGAAGGAGAGAGAGAGAGAATGAGAACAAAGAGGCAGAGACACACAGATGGACAGACAGTGGTAAGAAATAAAGGAGATATGACCCTGAGCCAAGTCACTTAACCCCGATTAACTCACAAAAAAAAAAAGGAAAAGGAAAAAGAAAGAGGAGACAGAACAGACTTGGACACAGGTGAGCACAGTTAACAGAGGATGGAGGAAATAGAAGAGACAGAGCAAAGAGATACAGAAAATAGACAGATGGAGAGAAAAGAAGAGCTGGTGCAGAGAAGAGGAGGGAGGAGAAAAGTCAGAGGCTGATGGCTACAGGTAGGCGCTTTTGCTTTTGCCATGTTCCCCTTTGGCAGTCTGGTGCAGCCTGTGTAGCCCTTCTTAGGATAATGTTTTGTTGCCTACATTCATAACTGAAGGAAAGGAGCCATTTCAGTTACATGTCAGTGACACTGAAGATGTGATTCCCCCTGTTCCCCATCCAAGTTCAAAGGATGCCCTCCATCCAATGCAAACCGAGGAGCTGGAGGAGAGCAGCAGGGAGGGCCGGGAGCTGAGAGGGGAGCGCGGCAGCAGTCGCGGGACCGCAAGCTGGGGCGGCCTGGAACACAGCAGGCGCTTAAAGCCGGAGCAGCGGGAGAGGCGAACGAGGCCGGGCCACCAGGGGTCGCTGCTCCTCCCGGCGTGGGGCCTCCCCCGCCTCCTCGGGGTGGCTCCGCTGCGGGGGTGGGGGCGGCGCCGGCGCCAAAATCAAACCCGCGCCTCCGCCGCTCGGCTCCGCCTCCAGCCGCCGCTGCTCCCGCTCGGGGAGCACCTCTGCGCCGAGCCATGGTAAGCGCCGCGGGGGGGAGCGGGCCATGTGGGCAGCCCCCCCCCCGATCCCCTGCCGCGGGCCCGGCTCTGCCCCCCCGCGCCGGTGTCCCCCGCCAGCCCCTCCTCCTCCTGGGGGCAGCTCCTGCGCCCCCTCCCCGTCCTCCGCCTCCTGCTGCCCCCCTTCTCTACCCCCGCCTCTCCCTCCCGCTGCTCCTCTCGTCTCCTCCCCTTCCTCCTTCCCCTTCTCTCCTCCCTCTCTCTCCCTCCTCCCCCTCTACGCCAACTTCCCTTTCCCTCCTCTTACTTCCTTGTCTTCGTGCTTCCCCGGCTCCACCTCTTCCTCCCCGCTTTCCTCCCTCTGTCCCTCCTCCCCTTCTCTTCCACCTTCCCCTGCTTCACTTGCTCTCCCTCCTCCTTTATCTCCCACTTGTTTCCCCTCCCCCCATTCTTGCCTTCTCTTCCTCCTCCCCATCCTTTGCTCTCTCTCCTCCTCTCTCTTCTTTCTCATTTCCTTCTCTCCCTCCTCCTTCCCCCTCTTTTATCTCCCTGTTTTCTCCTTCATCTCCCACTTCTTTCTTCTTCTCCCCATTCTTGCCTCCTCTTCTTCCTCCCCATCCTTTGCTCTCTCCTCCCTCATTTCCTTCTCTCCCTCCTCCTTCCCCCTCTTTTATCTCCCTCTTCTCCCCTCCCCATTCTTGCCATCTCTTCCTCCTTCCCTTGCTCTCCCTCCTCCCTCTCTTCTCTTTCCTCCTCCTCCTGCTTCACCTGCTCTCCCTCCTCCTTCCCCTCTTCTACCTCCTTCTTTTCTCCTTCATCTCCCACTTCTTTCTTCTCCTTCCCCTTTCTCTCTCCTCCTCGTTCTCTCCTTCTCTTCTTCCTTCCCCCATCCCTTGCTCTCCCTCCTCCCTTCTCTTTTTCCTCCTCTACTTCCCCTCTATCTCCTCCCCTTCCCTTTCTCTTCCTCCTCTCCTCTCCTCTTCTTTCTTCCGTGGTCTTTCTCCCTCCCCAAAAAACCTTTGTTGGGTTGTGTTTTGTGTCATTTACTTTTCACGACAACATTTATTAGGGCATTTATTAAGTGCCTGCATTTTACATATAAGTAAACTAAGACTCAGATTGTGATTTGCTTGTGGTCACAGCTAGTAAGTGTAGAAATGCTGGATTTGAATACATTTCTCCTAACAATTTCAGGGCTTTTCCCTCTATATCAGGGCTACCTTGGGTTTTCCGCTTCCTTGCTTAACATGCTTTCTTGCTCCATTGAATACTTGCAAACTTGGAAGGAGTTAAATCATTTCAAATTCAACACAACAGACATTTATTGAAGTATTTACTAGGTGCTGTGTTCGAGGTGCGTCATTCAAAGATGAAAAGGGACATCGGGCGTCTGCCCTGGAGGAGTTTACATTCTAGTTAGTGGGTAAAATTTTTTAGCATGTAAACTCTAGGGTAGGGACTGTTTCATTCATTGTATTTCAACCCACTGTGCCTAAGCACTTAGGAAGGGCTTAATAAATGTGGTTTGATCCGAAGGGTAAAGGAATACTGTATGTTTGCATATAAATGTAATGCAGGGTTGGGTGGGATGGAGCACTGGACAGATCTGGACAAGATACTGTATTCAAGGTTGTTTTTAACCTGGGGTTCATGAACTTGCTTGGGTTTTTTTGTTTTTTGCTTTTTTTTGGTGAGGCAGTTGGGGTTAAGTGACTTGCCCAGGATCGCACAGCTAGTGAGTGTCAAGTGTCAGGACAGATTTGAATTCAGGTCCTCCTGACTCCAAGGCTAGAGCTCTATCCACTTTGACACCTAGCTCCCCCCCCCCCAGCTTGCTTATTAAAAATATTTTTATATTTCAATGCAATTGGCTTCTTTGAAACACAATTTATTTTATATATTTAAAATCATTATTCCAGAAGGGTTTCATAGGCGTCATCAGACTGCCACAGGGAGCCATAACACAAAAAAATCCTACCTTGAAATTTTTTGAGGGGAGAGAAACCACTTTCTTTTGGAGACAAGAAGATGGAGGAGGCTGAAAGGCGGAGATGATATCTGAACTTTTCTTGAAAGGCAGAGATAGAGAAATTCATCCTAAATCTCCTAGGCAGATATGTCAATTCTCACAGATGGTTTTTACTAGAAAATGGGTGGCCTTAAATGCTAGACTGAATAACTTGTATTTTATCCAGACACTGAGGATTTTTGAGCATGGATAAAGGGTTTGGTGAGACTTAAGCATTAGGAAGAATATTTTGGTAGTAGTGTGAAGGGTGAAGAAATGTCATACAACTGCTGTAATTCTGGGCCCCAAAGTCTCCTACAAATACTGTTAAAAATAATTTACAGCCAGTTGGCACAGTGTATAGAGGTCTGGCCTTGGAGTCAAGAGGACCTGAGTTCAAATCCGGCCTCAGACACTTGACACTTAGCAGCTGTGTGACCCTGGTCAAGTCACTTAACCCCGCCTCACCAAAAAAAAGGGAAAAAATAATAATTTACTCTCCCTGGCAATGTGCCTGACAAATAGTAGGTGCTTACTAAATGATCCTTGAGTTAAAGAATGGAGAACTGGGGCTGCTGCTGCCCTGGTGAAGGACCAGCAGTGGACGTGAGACTGTCAAAGAATTAGCCAGCAAGTAAAATTTACCAGTTCAAAGGGCCAAGAGAGGAATGGCATTTATTTTATTTATTTAGTAGCTTTTATGTTTTGTAAGCATTTGTGAAATATTTAAACATGCATAAAGCAAAAGTAGAGAACTCAGCCACCACTTGGTATTCTTCTACTGGGAAAGGAGTGAGAGGTGAGAGATTATTTTTCTATATTTGTTTTTTGCATATACCTAGAACAGAAACAGGATTGAGCTGCAGACTATAGTTTTCTATTAGGTACGGTGTTCTTTTCTTCTTAAGTATATAATAAGACCAACCAGTAGCTTTCCAAGCTGCTTCTCTAGCTTGCTTCCTATTCAAGAGAGCATTTTTAGAGAGAAATAGTGCCTAATGTCATAGTTAGTAGTGTCTGGCAGAGCAGCTAAATCCAGGTAGGATTTCAAACCTTATTCTGTTTCTTGTGCATTCTCACTACCCATCAAACTATTTCCAATTAACTTTGCTTGAATTTTTAAAAACCTCTGTTTGTTTAGATTGGCCATATTAACTGTGATTTGAGGCCTTTTGTTTTTATGCTGAAAATGGTCAGTATTTTAACTGAAATTATGGTGCAGTCAGTCCAGGGTACTTAAGTGTGAAGTTACTGCCGTTCCCAGATGTAATTTTAACTGATAACGGCTTCTTTGTGGTTAGACTAACCCAGCCACCTGGGTATAAATAAATTGGTGTGAATGAACCACCCTCATGCTCAAATAGACTTAAAAATATTTTTGTCATTAATTCAGGTTGATACTATCCCTCTCTTAGTAATTTGGTAGTTGTAGTACTGAGTTAACTGATTGCCCAAATCTGTCTAGCACAGGTGAAAGCTTTTCCTTGTAGGTGGGAAGAAGTCTGTTCCTCACACCTGAGCTCTTTGTAGAAGTTAGATCCAGTACTAAACTGTTTGATTGTTATCTCTGATAAAGAACACACTACAGAATGAATGGGGGTAGTTTTTCTAAAACATTTTCTCATGTTAGTGGGGGTTGGAAATATGAAATTCTATATCATCTTAGTGTATTTTTGATCTAGGCAAAGCTTACCAGATTGTGAGCTAATTACTGGCTGTTTAATTTGAAGTAGCAAGGGTTGTCATAGAAACAATTTTCGTAAAACTAGGCATATATATTTACAATTAAAGAGCAGTACAAGTTATCTCTGTAACTTTTATGCGTATCAGTCTTCTGTTGTTCTAATGCTACATAGAATTGTTCCTAAGCATTCTTTTAATCTGTGATAGAACATTGTTTATTAGAGCCCCTGATTTTATAAAAAGATGAAACCACCTTTAAAAGAAATTATCCAGGTGACACGTGCCCCTTCGTATCTTAATCTTCAGCCATATTTGCCTCTATTTCTGTTTTGCAGAGAATACTTTTCCACTCACAAGTAATGGATTGGCCATTTTGAGAGATTTTTAATGAAGGTTACTCACCTGATATCCTTTTATATTGATCATTTAATATCAGAAAAGGCTATAATTGTTGCCTTCATTTCCTTTCTTCTCACTCACTTCTCACCTTTTGTTAATCTAGCTTCTGACCTCATCACTGAAACTGTTCTCTCCAAAGTTATCAGTGCTATTTTAATTGCCAGCCTGGAATGCAATCTACCTCCTGACAGAGGTGACAGACTTAATATTCAGAATGAGACATAGATTTTTTTTGGACCTGGCTAATCAGAGAATATGTTTAATTACCAGTGTTTGTTAAAGTGGTTGTGTTTTTCTTTTTCTTTTTTCAAGTTGGGCGTTAGGAGGGAGAGAACTAAATGCTTGTTAAATGGAGGGAAAAGTTGATTTTTTTTAAAATAAATTTTTTAAAATTGCCAATCTGATAGCTTTTTCTCATTCCTCATTCTTGATTGCTTTTCAGGAGTTGACAGTGTTTCTTCTTCTGGACATTCTTTTTTCTCTGAGTTTTTGTTACACTGTCTGGCTTTTGCTTCTCCTACCTATCTGGCTGTGTCTTCTCACTTTCCTTTGCTGTTCCTCATCCATATAATGCCTCCTAATTATGGGTCTTCCCAAAGGCTTCATTTTGGGCCTCTTCTCTTTACTCTCTCACTTGGTGACCTCATCAGCTTCCACAAGTTATCACCTCTATGCAGATCACTCCCAGATTGATCGTCCAGCTCTCAAGGTCTTGTCCCCCATCACCAAATTCCTAGACATTGAAACTGAAAGGTCACATATGCTTCTCAAATTAGGCATGACTAAAACAGAAATCATTATTTATCCCCTCCAAACCCATCCCTCTTCTGAACTTCCTTATTGCTGTTGAGGGAACTGTTATCCTTCTAGACTCCTCATCTCACATATCCAAATCAGCTGCCAAATCTTGTTGTTTCTACTTTCATATCTT